AGCCCATGGGACGGACTTCGATGATATCTCTATTTTTAAGGCTCCTGTGACATCACTCAGTAGTGAGAAACTTTATGAATGTCCCAAATGTGGTAAATGTTTCTGCTTTTCATCATATGAAGCACATGTGAGAGGTCATAAGATTGAGCCTAAAGAATGTTGTAAAACCTACAGCCCGTTATCAGTCATTTCACATAAAAACTTTTATAAAGGAAAGGAATCTGGGAAAACCGTTAGTTATTCCTCACACCTCACCACTCGTATAAGAACTCCTGGTGGAGAGAGGCCCTTTGTATGTAAGCATTGTGGGAAGGCCTTTAGTGAAGCCTTAAATCTCACTCGACATATAAGAAGAACTCACATGGAACAAAGGCTTTATGAATGTAAGCAGTGTGGGAAAGCCTTTAAATGTTCCACATACCTCACCACTCACATAAGAACACACAGTGGAGAGAGGCCCTATGAATGTAAAGAATGCGGGAAAGCCTTTAATCAAGGCTCAAATCTCACTATACATATAAGACGAAATCACAGTGGAGAGAGGCCCTATAAATGTCAGGAATGCGGGAAAGCATTTAGTGATTCCTCAACCCTCACTAAACATATAAGGACTCACAGTGGAGAAAAGCCCTATGAATGTAAGGAATGTGGGAAAGCCTTTAGTGATCCTTCAGCTCTCACTAAACATATAAGGACTCACAGTGGAGAGAGGCCTTATGAATGTAAGGAATGTGGGAAAGCCTTTACTTCTTCCTCAAACCTCAGCACTCATTTGAAAACTCACAGTGGAGAGAGGCCCTATGAATGTAAGGAATGTGGGAAATCATTTAGTGATCCCTCAACCCTCACTAAACATAACAGAACTCACAGTGGAGAGAAGCCCTATGAGTGTAAGGAGTGTGGGAAAGCCTTTAGTTGCTCTTCAAATCTTCGCACTCACATAAGAACTCACAGTGGAGAAAGGCCTTATGATTGTAAGGAATGTGGAAAGGCTTTTAGTGAAGCTTCAAATCTCACTAGACATATAAAAAGTACTCACCTAGAAGAGAGACTTTATGAATGTAAGCAAAGTGGGAAGGCCTGTGGTTCCTGAAACCTCCACACTCACATACACTTCTCTCACCAAGGAGAGAAGTCCTAGTAATGTAAGGAGTCTTGGAAGGTCTTTTGTGAAGCCTCCGATCTAACTAGGCATAACTGTAGTTATCACATTTATCAGCAAAAATGTTCCAAAGACTACATTTTCCTCATTCCTGAGCAGTTAAATAATAACTCACAATGGAGGGAGGACCTATGAGTGTAAGAGATGCCACTTCTCATGAGAATTCACACTGAAGAGAGGTTCTTTGACTGCATTAGGGCCTAACATTTCAATAGACACATTAGAACCTGCAGTGTAGAGAGGCTTTATGAATATAAAAATGTGAGGAAGCCTTTCCCTTTTGTCATCTTGGGCTTTGTTGAAATTGGTCAGCTGTTCAATTTTATCTATGACTTCGAAGGAACCTATGACCTATGACTTTTATCTATGACTTCGAGAG